TGCCGTTAATTTTCACCAATGGGTCGATCCTGTTGATCAGCTTTCCGGAGACAACACCAATCGGCCCATTACCTTTTCGGCTAATGGAACCTTTTCTGGCTTCGGCGATGGTTGTTCCAGCATTGATGCCATTTTGGCAAATAGGGTCGCCTCCTCTGCCATCCTTGACGCTGAAGTTCTTTCGTATTTCAAAGTTCAACACCGACCTATTCGGTTGACTCTTGCCTGGGACAGAATTTGGCAGATTGGGTACACGCTCCACAAGACTGCACCTTTTGTGTGGGACTCCCATTCCCTTTCCACCCAAGGGTCTGTTGACGAACACCCACCCTGGGATCAAGGGGACGATGTTGAGACTTGCTGGAATCGCACCAACTCTGCTTGCATTCAAGTCATGCTTGATTCAGGGGCCACCTGGGGAGCCGGTCCCCAAACAAGAGGCCAACCTATCCAATTTCGCCCCAAGAAGGTTTGCCCTGGTCAACTTTTGAACGGTCATGCTACCAACTTGGTTTGCTCGTGGCTGCACAATGCCCTTGGGGGCCTTCGTGAAATTGAGATCTTTCTTACCCGTAATCTCCGCGGTGACACCAATCGATGGATTCAGCGCCGCACCTTCGTTAGGGTTTGGAACCGCCTCGCCAGGCTTCGTGCGCCAATTTTGTGGCCGTCGTCCCGGAGACCCACACTCGTCGAAGTGACTGTCGCCATTCAGTGGGTCCAAGACCAGATTGCAGTTGGGGAACTTAAGCTCAAAATCAAACGCATCCAAGCATGGAAGCAGAAGATACAAGACTCCGCGAAGATTGGGTCCGCCTTCCTTTTTCATCACCTCAAGAACAAAGTCTCTACGGAGCCTGCAAACTTGGTCATTGATCAACAAGGGAACGCCATTTTTGACCCCCAAAGCGCTTTGACGGAGATCAATAATCAGTGGGACCCCATTTTCAGTGCCAACTTGGGTTTTCCCCCTGCTATTAAGATGCTCGACATTGTGTGGCCACACATCCACCACTTTCACTATGACTACCCCGTTCCGGACATCACAGGTAGCGCCTTAAAGCAGGTCGTCCACAAGAGGAAAAAAACGGCTGCACCTGGGCTCGATGGATGGCGCACCACAGAAATGCAACACCTTCCGTGCGCTTGCTTTGACTGGTTCGCCGCTCTCTTTAGCCGCCTTGAAGAATCCGATGAACCACTCCCCCGTGTTATGGCAACCGCTCGACAAATAATCCTCAACAAGAACGGTAGTTCTGAACCTCTGCAGAAGAGGCTCATTACTTTACTTCCTGTCATTTTACTTGCGTACACGGGTGCACGTTTCATTCATCTCAAGGAATGGCAGATGTACATCATGCCTGATCAATTGCAAGGGGGAATTCCACAGCGCCACATGGCTGCGATTCACACCCAGTTTGCTATCACTCTTGAACACATGCGGCACGAGCAATGTGACTTGATTGGGGTTAAAATTGATAAAGCAAAATGTTTTGACCGCATTATCCCTGAATATGCTGGAGCATTAATGCTTGCTTTCGGAGTCCCCAGACGTGTTGTCTCGTTCTTCCTGAAGCTGTATCAGGGCTTGACGAAACACCTCTCATACAAGTCATGGGTCCAGCCGTCGCCCACACACGGACCGAACGGTGTTGCACAAGGTTGTAGCCTTTCGCTCATTGCCATTAATGTGCACATGAAAGCACGGGTCCATTTACTCGCAGTCCTGCCAAATGTCACAGCACAGGCTTTTGTTGATGACGCCTACCTGTGGGTTCGCTTAATCCATAAGCATGATTTAGTCCAGGCCATACGTATCACACAGTCTTGGGATGCCTTGGTCGGCCAAGCCATGAACTGGTCCAAATGTACTGTGTGGGGATCCTCCACGGAGGCCCGGAAATGCATTAAGCACCTTTTTCCTAACATGCGATTTGCCCTTGAACTTGAAGTCCTTGGCGTTCATGTTCAGACCAGTTTTCGTAATGCTTCTCATTTCTCGGATGATAAGCTGGCTAAAATTATTGCTGATGTTCGGAATATTGCTTGTTTGCCAATTTCCATTGCCCAGAAGGCCAAAATCATCGGTGCAAAAGTGATCCCACAGTGCACATATAATGCCGCCATCAACCAAATTCCAGCGCGTGCCCTTGCGCGCATACAGGGTGAAATTGTGACAACTCTCTGGAACAACCGACCACATTGGCGTGCAAAGTTTCTGGTTTTTGCCTTTTTGTGCAAGCCTCACCGTGTCGAGCCTATGTGTGCTAGGCACTATAATGCTATCCTGGACTTATGTAGGTATCTCCATCTCTTTCCTGGGGAACGAACCAGATTTGATCACCTACTAAGCCATAACAAGAAAATGCAAGGTACCCTGACGGGCAAGATTCAGGAAGCTTTTCGCTTTTTTGGCCTTGAATTGAGCAATGATGGTGACATACGACTGGCTGGCGCCTTCCTCTGTCGCCTTGACCAGCTGTGCCCACGGGACGTCCGCCCCGTTCTACAGCAACTCGCCAGACATGCTTGTTACTCCTTGGCCAGTCAACAAAGTAGGAAAGACTTTCGGGCACCTGAAGGCTTTCTTGATTTTTGGCTCTCCACGTCCTTTTCTCGGCAAAAAGAAGAGCACAATGATGACATTCCCCAGAAAGCCTTTTTTGAGGCCCAGCTTGTCGGGTGTGTCCTTACCAAAGATCGCCTTGCTGCCGCTAAGAGGATCCCTGATCCCACATGTCGCTTGTGTCAGGAAACCAAGGAATCACTTCCTCATCTAGTCAGAGAGTGTCAGGGTATTCGTGAACTCCATGGCCCTCCACCTGTTCATGAGCTTGGCCCCAATTTCGAGCTCTTGGGTATTGTTGAACACCCAACATCGATCCTTGCTCACCGTTTGCAAGTTTCTGACCCTAAACAACTCGAGATTGCACCTTGGAACCCGGGTCAGCCCCAGGTGACGATGTGGACAGACGGCTCCGTGCAATGGCCGTCCCATTTCATTGTCAGTTGTGCTGGTTTTTCCATTGTTCGCCATGATGGTAGTGTTTTGCAATCCGGCCCTGTACACCACTGGAACCTCTCAAGCTATACAGCCGAACTTTGGGCCATCCTAGTTGCCCTCACGACAGCTTCAGGTCCCGTGCACGTACGCACTGACTCACAAATCGTTTCTCGGCATGTGAACTATTTGATCTCTGGGAGCGGAGTAGATAAAACATGGCCACTACAGGCATGGTGGAACTTCATGCACAACCTTTTTCGGCAACGACTCGCGCTTCACGACACTCCCTTGGTTTGTTCTTGGATACCAGCTCATGTTGCTGAGGATATTCCAGAGTACTTGCTTTCGCATAGCATAGCAGATGCACACGGCACAACAGTCCTGGATATCTTGAACAACCGACGCGCCGACGTTGCGGCAAAAAAAGCCGCTTTGGGTAATGCTGCCATTCACGCAACAGTATACCCAGCCTTATGTCAAGCTGTTCTTCATCGTCAACAATGGCTTACTGGTTTGTGCAAGTTGATTGGGAACACACTTCCCCCGCGTGAGTCAGATTCTGAGGACGAAATTGACAACAGTGCGCCGGATCCACAACACCGCTTTCCTCTTCTTCCTTGGAATGAAGATGTTGCAAAGTACCGTTGGCAGATTCCCTTTGAATTTGATCATACTCCACCTGCTTGCTGGCCGGCTGCGGCACATGATTGGTCGGTCTTCACGGCCTTCTTGAAAAGTCTGAAGTGGTTTGTACATGAGGACGCACGTATCTCCTATGCTGAACTGGCCGTACTTCTTGTTGGAAAGCAGTTCCGTTTGGAAGCTTTTAACGACGAGTTTTACACTTTCAAGACCCTGATATGTTGTGTGAAGAAGTGGTGCGGTCTTCTACTTCGGCGCGGATGGGGACCACTCTTTCCGGGCACCCATGATGCACATGAGCATAACGCCTGGGGAAAGACGATGCCCAGCGGCATTGTCGTTGGTGCGAGACCATGGAGGACGACTGAGGACCTTTGTTTTCTTACGTCTGTAGCGGACCGGGTCGTGAGAGCTAACCTCTCATCCTGGGAGTTTGCAGTTCATGAATTTTCAACTTGAACCTTTTCTTTGGTCTGTTTGTGGCCTGCTGGCTACCTTTTCGGGGTTTTCTTTAGGTCATCTTGTGGCATGCAGATGACCATGTACAGAAGGGATGAACCCTTCGTGTGCGCGAGAGGCAGAAGAGGATTTTGCACTTGAGGGTGGTGTATGGTCCTCAAGAGTCTACATTTGGGGCAAAGCGAGAGGTGATCTTTCGCTCTCGGTCGATCGCTCCGACGTTTGGCGCTTTCTGCGGCGGTTCAGAGACTCCCGCTCCCGGCGGCCGCGGACTCCGAGCACCGAAAGTGGAGAGACCTCCAGCGTGGGACCTCCGACCCCGACTCGGCTGTGGCGGTGGCTGTGGAGAGGATGGTTTCACCTGCGGAAACGCCGGGGTTCACCAGACCTGTGATGGACGAGAGACACTTGGTCTACGGTCAGATGCAGAGAGACGAGACACCGGGACACGCTCCAAGACCTGGCTCTGAGGGAACGCTGCTGTGGGAAATCCAAGCGCGAACGCTGCTGAACTCCAGACCTCACAAGTGTGTGTCTCACAAAACGATGGAGGTCATCCATAAAATGACTGGGCGGGTGTGCTTGGGTTCACGATTGGCCGGTACGCAAATGTGGCAGGAGCCAAAAAATGATTCATGTCCAAAGAGCTGGCTTGCAAACATGTTCAGAAGGAAGCTCGATATAACCATATTATATATATATATATATCAAGGCGGCGCAACCAACACTGTGCGATGTGTCAATCTTGTACAAATGCTGCCGGACTGGTAGTGAACCGTTCTATTTTCTCAAGCACAACACTTGCAGGACCCTTTGATCGTGGCCCTGTGACCAACCGTTGGCCGATCGCAGTTCCCGGATGCGACCCGGATGCGAAGCCTCGAAGCCGTCCGAGGTCCAAAGCGAAATGCCACGGTGGGGTCTTTGTGAATGACTCGGACTTCCAAGTGACCTTCTTTGCCGTGCGACCTTGCACCACAGAGGAAGAGGTGGGTTTTGGATGGTTGGCTGGTGTTTTTTGTGCTTTTTGGGGTTCTTTGTGATCAGGAACAGCAAGTAGTGCGAACACTTTCACTTCCAAAAACTCTTCTTTTTGAGTAATGTATGTTGCTTGCGAAGTTGCAATGTGAAGACTTCTAGGTGGGGCATGATGCTACCCCCTGTGCATAGAGATGCTTGCAACGTCAACGATTTTTCTTTGACCGCCATCGCCCCTTGACTTCTTAAAGAACCCCCTGCTTTCATGTTTTTTCGCTGCTGGCAAGGTTTCTAATTTGATGACTGCCCGCACAATGGGGCTTTGGTGGAGTTGAACTTTCAACATCGCACATCAATACCGTTGATCCAGCAGTTGGTTTATGATAAGATGATGTTGTTTGTTTTCGCTTCTTTCTTCTCAATTTTCTCGGAGGCCTGGTCTCCTGGCCAGCAGCTGGCCTCTTCTGTCGCTGCTAGCGCTGGCGGTCTCGTGCTGCCGTTCCCCCACGTGAGTGCCGCGGAAGCCCGGCAATTCCACATCCCCACAGAAACCACGTCCGGTTGCCCAGCGGAGTGCGAGCAACACTTCTTGTGCCGAGAAGGCTGGTCGGGTGGGTCTGGGAGCAGGGGGAAGGTGCTGTACACTTGCAAGGGGAGGAGGCAGACCAGGGATCATTGCTTCTCATTTCACGCCGATCACCCTGGATTTTGTTGTCATTTTGTTGTTTTCCTTTTTCCTTCTCCTCGTTCTTCGTCTTATGATCAGGTGATCGTGTTTTGCGCTTCAAACAGGACTCACATGGTTTGCAGGTCAGGGAATTTGGGACATATTGAAGAGCGAAGGCCCAAGTTGTAAAACTAGACGACGAGTGGCCCGAAAGCATTTTTCATCACGTAGGAAGTCAGAGTGCGAGTTATCCGGTAAGTGTGCAGTGAGAAGTGTGTGGGTTGAGGTAGTGTGTGGGTTTCTGTGCGTGTGTCTATGTCCGTGTGGAAATGAGTCTGCGTATGTGTGTGTTCGTGCAAGTTGAGGGAGTGTGTGGGTGTCTGTGTGTGATGCGGCCTCCCAAACCCCCCACCGGCGGCCAAGCGGTGACAGCCCAGCTCATCGTCGTGAGCATTTGGGCTGCTGGTAAGGGGAGAAGCAGCGTGCAGAGCGCCAGGAAAAGCTCACGGAAAAAAACGAACCGGAATGAGGACACAAAAGTGCCGAGGCAGGTGCGCCAGAAGTGTCTCGAAGCAGTGACCTGTCAGAGGAGATGAACGAAGTAGCGCGCAGGCCTCCCAAACCCCACCGGCGGCCAAGCGATGACAGCCCAGCTCATCGTCATGAGCATGTGAGCTGCTGGTAAGGGGAGAAGCAGCGCGCACGGGTGTAGGGAATCTCACTGAAAAAACCCAGCTGGAATGAACA